TGCGTCTTTCGTGGAGTTGGCTATCGCTGAATTAGTCCACACTCACGCCGTCGTTGAGGTGCCCTTTATTCCACATGTCGTTAATCCGCTCTCTGTCTCGATACAGTCTTTAGCCAAGAAGAGGCTTATTCTGGACTTACGTCATGTCAATCATTTCATTTGGAAACAGAAGTTTAGGAGTGAAGATTGGAGAGTTTTATTATCGCATATTAATAAGGGCGATTACCTTTTCAGTTTCGATCTCAAGTCTGGGTATCACCATATCGATATTTTTCCGGATCACCAAACTTTTCTGGGTTTCTCCTGGCTTTTTTCTGGTACCGTTCGGTATTTTTGTTTTGTATCACTTCCGTTCGGTCTTAGCTCAGCTCCATACGTCTTCACCAAGTGTCTTAGATCACTCGTTAAGTTTTGGAGGTCTAACGGGATTAAAATTGTTGTGTTCCTCGACGATATGGGTGCGGAAAAGGGGATTCACTGCCTATGGCCAAGGAAAATTCATTGTTTGTGCAATCATCCTTAAGCAGTGCAGGGTTTGTTGCCAACTCCGCCCAATCACTATGAAACCCCACTCAGGTGCTTGTTTGGTTGGGTTTAAACTGGTACTTAGTTACCAGTACCATTTCTATCACCGATAGACGTATTTTCGAATTTATCGCTCCTGATTGCCTGATTGACAAATTTCTTCTATCCGCACCTTATGTTACGGCTCGGGATTGTGCCGTTATCGCAGGTCATGTTATGTCCATGTCGCCAGTTTTGGGTAACCTGACTCGTCTCAAAACCCGTTTTCTTTACAAGGTCATAGAATCCCGCCGTAGTTGCGATTCCCGTTTTAATATCGGGCTTCATAATGATTGCCTCTCTGGAATGTTTTTCTGGAAAAACAATATCGTTAGTCTTAATACGAGACCTATTTTGCCTTATAAAGCCCCCCTTTTGTTTAACTATTCGGACGCTGGCAACGTCGCCTGCGGGGCTTTTGTTGTGGGCGCTAATGAGGTGTCCCATCGTATGTAGACTGCTGGCGAAGCAGCTAAGAGCTCTTCTTGGAGAGAACTTAAGGCTATACAATTTGCCTTAAGTGCATTCAAAGCCTTGGTTCGGGGTAAGTGTGTAAAGTAGCATTCTGACAGCCAAGGGGCCGTTCGTGCTGTGGAAATAGGGAGTCCTAGTGCAGGATTGCATTCTATTGCTCTTGATATTTTCTATTTTTGTCGAACTTACAATATTACACTTATTCCCCGGTGGGTTCCCAGGGAACTTAATGCTTGTGCTGATACGATTAGCCACATTGCAGACTTCGATGACTGGTATACAACCCCCTAACCCTTGGACCGCCTTTGGGGCCAACATACAGTCGACAGGTTTGCGAATGCTGCCAACGCCCATCTTCCCAGATTCAATTCTAGGTTTCGCTTACCCGGCACTGAAACTGTTGACGCATTTTCAATCTCGTGGAATGGAGAGAATAACTGACTAGTCCCTCCCGTCCACTGCATTACTGGGGCGGTTCAGCATCTCCTTTTATGCGGTGCGGTTGGTACTTTAGTCGTCCCTTATTGGCCGTCTAATGTGTTTTGGCCTTTCTTGTTCGCAAATGCAATTCAATTCCAACCGTACGTCCCTGCGTACATTAATTCTCCTGACCCCGCAGGGATTTTTTCCCTCGGGCGTTACAAAGATTCACTCATTGGTTCAGACAGGTTTATCCTGGCAGTCAGAATTGGCGCTAAGGGGCCTTAGTTCTTTCACGCCGAGTGGCTTTATGTTGGCCTACGTGTTTTTTATTCCGCTCGTCAGTTCATTTGTTCTTATTTCGTTCATTTGTTTTGTTTTTGAGCCGATTGGCCTGTTTACCTTCGTTTTTGAGTTGGCCCCTATGGCTTAAATAGTTTTACATCCGGTCAGCGGCATTATCAAGCGTCCATTTTTTATCTGTATCAGGGCGTAATAAGCTAGGGCGTTGAAACGAGCCGTGTCGAGCGATCTAGCTGTGATGCAAGGGTCTGGGTACTACCAAAGAGACAAAACAAGATGGCGGACATTATGCTGGACCGTCACAGAGATTATCCAGCGAAAGTTATCCATTATCCCGTGGCAGTCATTTTCTGCAAGCAATAGCGAAGGAACAAGTTATTTTTTTCTCACGTTCGTTTCTTGTTTTGTTCAATTTTTCGCCCGCGAACAAATATCTGTATTCAATATAGCTCCACCTCCGTGACCTGTATCAAAATTTCGTGACTTGGTAAGAAAATGGCATCACAACTCAGATGATAGCACTGACATCATTTTTAGACTAATATTATCGGTTCTCTACTTCAGTTTAATATCAAGTTGTGTCGTTCATCATCTGCTATGGCATTTCTTTTTTGCTGCCCAGTTTCAAGGCCAGATGATCATGATCTGTTTTCACTATTAAAGTTTGGATTTGTTTGTGTACATCAGTATTCTGCTCTAAACACCTTATTGAGCTATCTCCAATTTTGAGCATTGGACAGATTGTGAAAACTAAAGTCGGGGTAAATTGAAAATATAATAAAATCATCATTATTCTTTATCTTGTACACTAATACTACAGTGCAATGAAGAATAAGTATGTGAAAAAAATATAATTCACTGCCCTTGAAAAACTAACAAAGGGGTCGCAAGAACACAAATAAGTAGCCCAGCAAATATTTTTGTTTGATAATAACAGCTTTCTGTGATGAAATGGTCACTGAAAACTACCCATGCAAAACAGAATAAGGAGCTTAAAAAAAACTAAACATTCACTAGTCTTACATTGCAACCAGACATTGCTATGTATATATCTTACAGATACAACATAAAACATTTATATAAAATACAAATTCAAAAGTATACTGGAAACAAGAAAATTATACAGAATTATGCACAAATGAAATACAAATAGCCTGTAACAGCTATTAAACCATTGAAATGCAAACTTTTTAGTGTGACCAGCAACCCTAGCACGCTTGTATACTTTATGTCCAGTATGATTCAGTTTCATTCTTGGTTCAATTTATTGACTGCAGCCAGGCTTAACCAAACTTGATTCAAAAAATACTTTCCTGTTTCCTTGTCTACAATATATAATATTAAGAGAGCTAGGATATAATGCTAGAAATATTATACAGTAGTACAATCAAAAGATAAGGCACCACCAGGAAATCGAGTTGGTCCCTACTATTCTTCAGTCATTTTCTTTTACTCTCTATAGGAGTTACACCTGTCCATTAATAGAGACATTTTGTGCCAGTCCCAATAGTTTCCATCTGAGAGCTGACTGTAGTTTGTGCAACACCACAGTTAAGCCTCTGACGATAAAAATACAATGCTACACAGTCTTAATTTATTCTACTTGCAATCAAATTAAAACCTCTTCATGTTCTTCTTCATATTCACGGTATTATGAACTCGTTTATGTTTCAGTGTGTGTTCTAGTAGTCTTTTCAGGCCGGGCACTCAGTGTTGTCCTGCAAAAAAATCATAATAACAAACACATTCTATGATTTAATTTTACAGTGGAATCTTTGAGGGGATTTGAAAGCAAATTTCTCCATAGGCTTCATTCTGTTTCAGTGCAATACAACCTATAAAAAAATTTATACCGCAGGGGCAAGCAGAATTAATGTTGTTGTTTAACATATATTAATATAGACTGTCACACCAGATCATTCGAATGCAATTTTCTAGTAGAACTTTAAAAATAGTCAGAATCTTCTTGGATCGCGGTTCTGTAACCAAAAAAAACATTTATTTACCATCTTAGTGTATATTAAAAAAAGAAAAATCGCTAAATTAGGCAACTGAAATCTTTTTTTTTTTACTAACAAGCTAAACGCCAACGTACAAAACAAAAGCCTTGCTATCGCCGTTAGGAAGTCGTCACTTCAGAAGTAAAACAGCCTTAAAGGTTCATAAAAGTTCCCTCTAAAAATTTGCATGCACAAACAAAATTTATAAAACCATTACATGTTTTTTTTTTTTTTTTGTAGCCGTTTATTATCATTTGGTTTTGACTGGCAAGATAAAAAGCGACCTTCAACCTGTAGTATTCGATAGGCCATTTTGACACTACATAAACGTGAAAGGCGAAAAAACACCTTAACTTATAAGACTAAAATATCACCTAAATATTTTCTGTGTATCGCATAGAAATACGCCAAATATCAAATCTAATTATAGATTGCAGCGATCTAAAGATATAAAGCAATAAATCCGAACCTACCTTCAGCTAGACAGCGCCATTATTTTTCCCCTGACAGCGGATCGAGAGCTGAAAGGCAACTAGTTCCAGTCCTACTCCGCATCACAGATGAACCAGAGAGCGCGTATGAGCGTTTCAACGCCCTAGCTTATTACGCCCTGATCTGTATTGACTCCCAGTGCGTGTATGGAAGAATTTTGCCATTTATTTTTGTTTTTATCCTCGTAGAGGTTCTCAAAGATGTCTTGCAGACTAATTTTCAACAGGTTGAAGACAGGTGACTCCGGGCACTGGTTCAAGATCTCCCCGCAGTTCTTCTTAAATCCAAAGCCGACAGTGCCGCGAGGAAGTACGAAAAGGGCTTCAATGCTTCGAGAAAATGGGCTTCTCAGTTTAAAGAAATTGTCATATTTCCCGCTTCTAGTGTACACGTTTCATTGTTTTTTCTCAGCTTGATTCAAGAATCTGCTTCTTGCAGTACTATTGAAAAAGTCCATTATGGGCTCAAGTGGGTGCTTGATTTGGCAGGTCTACCCGACCCCTGTAATTCCTCGTTAGTTTTACCTTTAAAAGAATCTTCTAAGAGGCTTCTCAGTATCCTCGTTAAAAAGAAAGAGCCTGAGACCCCCGAGGCTATGTAGCTTTTATTTGCTAAGTATGGATCGTCTTCAGCTAGTTTGTCTGATTTACGAGTTCTTCCTTTGTGCGTTTTAGGTTATGCAGGGTTTTTTCGTTTAACGAGTTGGTCCAGTTACGTAGGTGTGATTGTCAGTTTGAAGATTCTTTTATGAGGATCTTTGTTCATCGAAGTAAGACTGACTTTTACAGGGATGGGGGTTGGGTTGTTGTCGCTAAAACTTTCAAGCATACATGTCCTTATTTATTAGTTCAACGATATTTTGTGTCTGCTTCTTTTTCAGCAGACATCAAAGAGTTCATTTTTCGCCCTCTTGTTTTCCTTCGCGGTACCGGAGCTTACAAAATGCGCAGGTCTGTTTCTTTGTCTTATACTAGACCGCGGGAGATAGTGCTTAGCGCTTTCAATTCCATCGGTCTTCCCAAGCAAGACTACGGTCTCCATAGCCTTAGGTCTGGAAGTGCCTCCGGTGCTGCTAATGCCGGAGTGCCTGACAGATAGTTTAAAAGACGCGGCCGTTGGAAATCAGACATGGCAAAACACGGCTACATTAACGGGATAATGTTCATTCATTGTTGTTGGTTTCGTAATCACTGGGTACTTAAATTTCCGTATTTCCCGTTCTTTTAGTTTGTACACGGCTCGTGTTGATACACCCCAATTGAAGTTGCTTGTTACATGATATATGTTTTATATTCGTTTGAGCGGGATAGCGAATTAGAATATAAATGTATTTATCATGGGTTATGTAACCTTTTCTTTAGGGTGTCAAACAACATGGCTCAGACAATGCAAAAGGCGCAGAATTTACGAAGTTATGCGTTTTTCCGAGTTCAGCTAACTTTAAAAAAGTGTTCTTATAAAAAGACTGAATGTTCTAGTAAATGGAAATGTATTTATCATGGGTTATGTAACCTTTTCTTTGGGGTGTTACATGGTATGCTGTTCTATTGCTTCATTAGCGGTAGGCTATATATATTTGAGTTGTTTTCTTTTATATTCATTCGCGTCTTACGACCATCCCTATGCCCTCAAAATTAAATACCGAGTGACCAGGGGTTTCTCTTAGACGTAGATTTTTGCACGCTGCTATATGAAAGGTTTAGCACGTTTTGTATGTTTACTGAATCATTGTTTATATACGATCATAGTTTAGATCATTTTGTAGGGTTGTTTTTCTTGCTGTAATTTTTTACGTTCCCGAGTTTTCATTCTGTTTGTTGCATTATTTCCATCCGTTTTGTTGATAAAGGCATAATAAAGAGGGTCGCTCACGGCTCGTCTTGACACACCCCAATTGAGGCTGCTTGTTACATGATAAATGTTTTATATTCGTTTGAGTGGGGTAGCGAATTAGAATATAAATTATTTCGCTGTTATGTTATCGCATTGCCACAAGGAGGAAATAACTCTATACACTTTGATATACTTTTAAGTACTCTATCCATGACTTTCTTTGCTTGGGCAAGATATTTAAACGAGAGAAAAACTGCTGATACCAGGTTACTAACCTTGCACAAAGCTCGATTACAACATTGCTTGCAAGAGGAACATTCACGACAATAAACCAAGTTTAGCCTCAACGGTGTTTTGTTAAACACCTGCAACCAAACCCTGAAATGAACTCAGATGACTCTGTCTGTCATCAAGAATAAATAAGCACGAGTAACTTTTTTTAAACGGTTAACGAATTGCCGAACTGGTGAGGCTACAGTATTTTAAGTTAATGGAACGCCAATATAAGTTTTTTTTTTTCATTACTTGTATTATTCCACCAAGCTTGCTAAGGATCCCTTCATAAACGATAACGGAGATTGCCTACGTCCCTTTTGATTTTGAAGCAAGCAGACAGTGAAGTCCTGGTGACTGATTCTAATTTGACATAAAACCTTGACGTTGCAAGATAGATGGCGGCTGCTATTGTTATTTACTTAATTATTCAATAATTAAAATTTTGCTCAGCTACTTGCCTTACAGCTACAAATAAGATAAGATGAAATAAGATGATTTTCGTTATATATAGAAGTCGGATCTTTGTCCTAAAGAAGTAGGCGAGATGCTTTGGTTGCTTATTCACCTACGGAAACCAAAATGCCTTTGTAAAGAGCGAGATACTTTTTCTCCTAAACCGCCGTAGTAATAAAGCAATGAAGGATCCTCTTGTGCAATTTGTTTAAAAGTTTTGACATAGTTGCATTGATATGACACAATGTGCGACATCGGCTGCAGCAAAGTGTCGTCTTTAATTAACGTATTCAGGATCGCAGGCCGGAAGATTATCCCCGGAAAATTTGGAGCCCAAGAAGAATAATGCATTATGAAAATACTTAAGATACAAACCTTTTACGGACTCCAGTAAACGGTAATGTGTTAAGCAGTAAGAGAACACACATTTTCCAATGTAATGGTTACCGTTTAAATAAATTTTTTTCCATATAGTTTCTTAGACTGTCAGGCCTCATGGAATAATTTAATGGGACAGGAAAACTTATCGCTCATAATTAAAACAATGTTTCTCCAACATAGTCTAACATCAATGAATTTACACTTCAAAGTCCAATATCAAGGTGGCGAGTGAAACTATCTTTGCAATTTTTACAGCAAACTAGCTTTCCAAAAAAAACACCATTGAAAGATTAATATATTACACATTGGCGGTTAAATTCTATATATTAAGTGGTATCTCAAGGTTATTTAAGGAAAATGTTAGTTATTGTGTTCGTGTTTTCTTTTCAGAAACACATAAAACCGAAATAATTATCGAACCATTTTCTTTTTTTATAATAATCTCATAATTTTTGCTCATACTAATTCTCGCGGCTTTCTAATTTTTCTACAGTTGCTTAGCAACCCTAACATTCTGCCAACTCTGCGTTATTTGACTAAACTGGCGTCGATGGCACAACTAGAATAGACAAGAAAGAATCCTTCACAAGACAAATTGGTAAGAAGGGGTGAAAAATGTTGCACAGAACGCAGCCTTTAACCCTCGTTTCCAGAATTTTTCACGTTTTCCGCCATGTGACATCTTTGCGTACTCGTGTTTGAAATTGAAGCCAATACATAACTTATTTGAACGCAACGCATGAAACTAGTTTTATGTTTGATTGTTGCATGCAGTTTTCGATTATGTTCGATTTCCGGACGTTCGACAGCTTTATTTGCTTCTGTCAACTCACCGTGAATGAGAAAGTTTTCAGCTTTGTCGCATCTTGCAAATGCTGTCAACAGCGGCTACGATCGAGGTGAGCGTTGTTCATCTCCAGTGTTCTTTGCCATGTTAACTTGCTGGCACTTACAGTTTTCTAAAATATTTGCTTTCCTTTCTTTCTCCATAAATTAACTCCTATTTCTAGACAAAATTGGTCTTGCGAGGAAATCCCGAGTTTACGAAACAATGACAAAGCGGCCTCGATTTCCTCTGTAGTGGTAAAAACATTTCTTCGAGCGTATGAAAGTAAACTACAGTATTAAAATAACCTCACAATAAATCACGCTGTTTAAACACCATGAAGTCTTTTTTCACCTTCAAAATCATCAACACTGCTGGGATATTCTAACTTTTTGACCTGTATTTTCAAAACTTTCTTGCTCTGGAACTTGGCAAAACACCCAGTTCATGACAGCGGTTTTGTTTTGCTTTATATTCACCGCAGTAGCGTGGTGAATATGACGTTATAGTCCAAGATAGCGAACCAATCAGATTGCTTGAATCACCTAGATCACTGTGTGTGTATACTAACTTAGAATATTGGAACGGTTATCCAGAAATGTTTTTCCTTTATCGAACTTTTTCTTCAAAGCCACTCGTTAAACATTAATTACATTCTTCACCAAAAAGACTTTAACTATTCTAGAAATTACTTGAAATACACCTAATACTTAATATATAGAATGTAACCGCCAAAATATGCGTTGCAATGTCTGTTTATGAGTTTACAATGATTAGCAAACTGCTAACTACTACTATGAGTATCGGATGTCCACTCGCCAAAATGTTAAACATGCATGCTTACCTAGTATAAATTAGAGTGGAGCTTAAGTCTGAAAATGAACAGAACAAAAAAAAAATACAAATAAAAACGAAAGGAAACAAAACAACCAAGTTTAGCCAGTGAACGCGCAAATTTACGAACACTAGGGACAGATCCATGTGTCCGCATTACAGAGTTGTCCGTATTATGAAGTTAGGAATTGTATGAGGTTTGATATCTTTACATGGAACAAACAAACTGTCCATAATAAAGGGACGTCAATAAGTAGAGGTTATGATTGTAATTCTTTCGAAAACTGGAGATAGAAGAGAGATTTCCTGCCGAACGGTGGACCAACCTAGAATCCTGCAGCCAGCAAACATCTTTTTTCTGTAATGTAGTGCTCCAAATTCGATCGGATTATTCCTTTACCCTTATGTTAAAGATTGCTTGAACAAAAATGTCGATGCGCTTGTGAAAACATGACTTGTATAGCTGCTTCAATCAGAAATATGCTTTGCCCACAATGCAGATAAATATAGCCGTTTCATTTTCGATGCGTATATTAAGGTTCATCAATTTTTTTATCCGATATGGTAAAGAACCGGGAACTACGCCAAAAACGAGCCTTTTTGATCTCGTTGTTAATTCTCAAATAAGAATTTCTGTTGCATTCGAAATATAAAAAGGGATTTCTAGCCATTTTAAACAACTTCCTTCTGCTTTAACTTTGCGTTGAATTGTCTTTGTTTGCAACTGCCAATTGATTATTTTTGGCACAATGAAAAGTTCCTCTGTTTGAATCAAATATCAAATTTCGAACAACATGGTTGAGACAATGCAAAAGGCGGAAAGTTATGCAATTTCCAAGTTGAGATAACTTTTAACAAAATGTTCTCATCAAAAATAAACCTACTGTTGTACCAAACTGAAATTATTTCGCTGTTGCTTTATGTTATTGCATTGGCTCAAGGAAGAAATTTCTTCTTCTATACACTTTGAGATATTTTTAGGTCCTTTATCCATGACTCTCTTTTTTTCTTGGTTAAACTAAGGAAGCTTTTGATACCAGGTTACTTACCTTGTTCAAAGGGAGGGTGATTATAGCATTGCTTGGGAAACTTTCACCAAACCAAAACATGTCCAGTTTTAACAGCGTTTTATTAAGCACCTGCAGCCAAACCCAAAAAATAAGCTTAAATGATCATGACTTCAATGGTGAACGAATTTTTTTTTAATTTAAATACTTAATTATCCTCTCCCCTTAGGGCGGGATGCTTTTCAGGGATAATTAAACAAATAATTCAAATGGAACATAACATGGTTAAAATTCAAACTTTTAGGAGGCAAACCAGTACTAGCTTTATTACAAGCGTGGCACAGGGTTTGAACATGGGACTAGCGAGAACAAACCCAGCAAGCAGTTAGGGCGGGATTTGAACATGATGCCTTCAGGTTCGGATTACAAGTCCGGTGCTTTCACCGCACGGCCACACTGTCTCCCTCAGACGACAATTTAAGTGAATC